TCAATCATTTAAGCGCTTGAAAATTCAAATCCCTCGCTAAAAACATTATTCTAAGACAAATATTGTTATTACTGGTAGTGTCATCAGTTGCAGTTAGGCTATGATGATGTTTCATTCATGGCTAGGCCTTTGATGATGAATATTCATTATTGCTGTTGTCGCCACACTGGACCAGGCTATTCAATAATATTTAATAACCCTCCCACACTTTTTTTTTCCTCTTCTCGAAAATCAACAACAACGGAATTTCAATTATTTAAAATGAAAAAAAAGGAATGTCAAAAAGAAAAATAAACTAATTTTCAAAGAGCAAAATAGCATATAATTCTTTGCTTATGCACCCAAAACTCCAACAGATAAATTGTTTAGATGGAATAATTTTGATAAAGTACAAACTTTTCACATTCAGACTTTTTTTTCTCTCTTTTTTTTGGAAAAGAATTATTTCGTTTCAAAAATTTGACTTCGTTGCTTTTACATTCATTCCTTCAACTATTCGTTCAAAATTTTCCGAGCTTTGAAAACACGTTTTTTGACAATTTGTATGTGTAAACTATATGGTTGATCTTATCGGAAACTATTGATTTGTCTTTTTGTATTCAATCTCGATTAATTGGCATTTTCTGAATATTTGAATTGAAATAATTTTATACTTTTGTTACCATTCTTTTTTGGATTAAATCTAAAATTTCTTAAAAATTGTTTCATTTAAATTTAAAATTAATTAAAAGCATTTTTTCTGCTTCCCAATGTATGGCTTATTTTCTAACAAGAAAAAAATATCGTCATTTTATTTATCCAGTAAAACAAAAATAAAAATTAGTATTCAAAAATTCTAACTTCCGCCCATTCTTTGTTTTTATAAATTTAGCTATTTAAAGGGAAATATTTGCTGGATGATTTCAATTCCTTCATTTTAATCATTCACTTTTAAATTTGAAATTTGCAATTCAAATACTTTGATTTCTCTGCAACAATACTAATTTATTCAATTTTCTTCCAATCTCAATCTCTTTATTCCTTTTTTTTTTTCATTCATTCATTTCGGAAGAATCAGTTGCATACATTTCTATTTAATTTGAAATTTGTTTAATTCTCTTTGCTACGTAATCAATCCTTTCATTCAACCAAATGCAATTAAAATTTTCTACTCTTTCCATGTCATATTCCATACTTTAGTGAATTATGCCTTACTTGCTTAATAAACAATAAAATTTTATCATATTGTTATACTTGCATACAGTATAACATAAATTATGCAAATTATTGAAATTATTAGAATGAAAATATGGTAGGAAGTTAAAATGATTACACTATTTTAGTTTGAAAATGAAATGATGGCATTTAACAGATGTGCCTAAGATAAGAGGAGTAAAGTCTAGGCTTTCTATCAGAATAATAAATTACTCAAAAGCAAATACACTAAGAGAGAAGCGCTAGCATTTCGAAACATTGCCATTATTTTGATTAGTTTCCACTTGGAGTACCTTTTTGAACTTTACAAAAAGCTATTCTTTTGCCGAAAGATTTTAACAGAGAACTTTCTTTTTTTTTTTTTTAAATTAACATTCAACAGATAGCTAGTTATTAGTGCTGTTAGTCTCTGGCAATTGGATAAATTGTACGTTGATAGCTTTTATAATTTTAATAAAATGCAAATTGTAAAAGAGATAATTGGTTTTTGATACACAATTTGGAAAGAAAAAAGAAGGATGTATAAGTGAATGCAACATAAAATTCAGATTAGTTTAAGAATTGAAAATTTATTTAATATTAAAATTATTTAAACAAACAATAAGTTAATTTGAGTAGTATTATTACTAAACTGTTGGAGAAATGAATGCTTAGTAAAATTGAATTATCAATTTCATCAATCATTATTTCAGTGAAAAATAATTAAATTAATGAAAACTCACATTTTACCAACCAACTTTTTCCTTAAATATCCCAAGCATATAATTTTTTTC